CTTCAGTCGAGGAGACATATTGGAAAGGGCTTATTTTGTGCAAAAAAGCCACCCAAAACAGAAGATAAATCTAATGTTTGCACGCATCACCAGCGATGAATAGAATTCACCACGCTACAAATGACTCAGGCCAGAATGAAGCAGAGAGAAGTAATGCATGCATTGGCAATGCACTGGTTGATGGGGGAAGTTTACATTGGGAATATTACAAAGAATTAGAAGGGCTTACAGAAGATGAAGTAGCTGAAATGTCTCTTAAAGAGGTAGAGGAATTTGAGAATAACAGGATGGTTAAAAATGCATGGCGAGTTGCGGAAGAGGTTCATATTCATATCAATGGAGAACCAGCAACAAAGGGTTTTATTGCATCTGCTGTCTCGGAAAGACCTGGTGTCGAATTCTTTTATAACAAGGAGTGGCTAACGAAATACAACATTACTTCAACTACGAAGCGGCCTGAAGTACCTGGGCATTCATACTTCCAGAAAGTTGAGAAATTCTTGGAGATGCATTATGAAAGAGGAGAGTTATACATGGAGTTCCTCAAGAAAGATTGCTTGTCGAAAGATCATGTAATGCCTGCACAGAGTGGATAGGCCCTGAGTCTACAAAGCGAACACCACGTCCTTTTCCAGACACCTCTTCTCCTTCTCATCATTATCTCCCTTTAGAGAAAACTCCCACCATTAATGTTGATGGTAGCACAAGAGAGCCCAACGATTTCCAACCAAGAGCACAATTGCGAAAACGTTTTTTTAACAAAGACATAAAACTTGGTGACAGTGAGGAAATTGAAGCATTTTCAAAGCAGTACATTGTAGGGGTTGATTTAATAGAGGAATATCTTCAACACCTAACCAACATAGAATTAAGAAAATTAAAACGAAAGCAAGAAAAAGAGAAGTTGAAGGTGAATGAAGCTTCAAAATCTTACAGTGACTATGACTGGGAGAAACTTTACAAAACGGGAAGGCTGAAAAATCTTAAAGTATGCGAACTTGATAATTATGTGCAGCATTACAAATTGACCACCAGGAAGCTGGCGAAAGCAGAAAAGCTTCAGTTGTTGTCAGCTCACATTAGCCAGAGAATCTGTCAGAAAATAATATCAAATGCCAAAGCAACAACCCTCGCAAGCTCCTTTCAGTCAGTCAGAACATGATTCACAAAGTAGCTGCTCAGAAGAGTCCAGTAGTGATGATGAAGTACTGAACATATTTGGCAGTTACTTGAGAGAACATGACTCATTTGGAGATGTGATAATGGATGAGGATGACTTTCCAGTGGGTGAGATAACAGTACACCGTTATGGACGAAAAGTTGGCAGTTGGAGGTCACGCTATACACAAGATGAATAAGGTAGTTCCGAGTGTCAGCTTCCAATTGTTTAAGCCTATGTGCACACGGTATCGTTTTCGAGCTTTTTCAAATGTGTCTTTATCACTTTTATCGTTTGATACTCTGTTCACACAGTCCATAGAAAAACATTTCCATGACTTTCGTCAATTGACCTCATTTTTATCCGTTTTGTGTGAAAAATGAATGAAAACGCTACGGAAACGACACTGTGTGGATTTAATAGTTAGGATGGGGGGTCAAAAATTTTTTCAGTAAAAAAAATAGGGGGTCATAATTTTTTATCAACTTTTCTGTCGGGGGGTTCCAAGTTTTAACATGGAATTAGACCTCAGTTCCTCCAGCCCACCCCCCAGCTAAAAAATAAATGCTCCCTAAGTGAAGTAACATTTGTGGACGAACTTGAGCATTCAATTCCTGGTAATTTGTTTGCCATTTGATTGGATATTGCTATCAGATCTGAAGTAAATGAATCCCTTTGAGTTCTAGCTGCTGACGTTTATGGAGAATATGGAAAAACCAAAGGTTGGAAAAGAAAACCACTGGATGCCATGACCAGGAAATTTCACATTTTGCAAGGGCAAACTATTTCGTTATCACAGCTTAAGCAGAAAAATGAATTGGTAAACGAAGAGTTGGAAAAGTGGAAACAAACTTGTGTTAATTTAAATAATGTTGTGGAAAAGTTGTATCATGAAATGGAGATTGCAATGAAAGAAAAAGATCTAAAAATGAAGAACGTTTGCAGTACATTGATTTACTTGAAAAATCACAGCACTTCCAATACAAAGGAAAGGATATTTCAGAGGTAAAAAACAAGTGCAGAACACTTACAACATTTTTATCTCGTGCCAAAACAGGCTTATGGTTTTCCAAATCATTTGGGCTAGAATTGGAGAGCATAGTTGTAAAGGAAAATAAAACTGGTGTTGTGCCTCATTTGGATACTGACACCACTGACCCCACACTTGGCAGTAATGGTTTTAATGCTCTGTCAGAAGATGATAAAGAAAAGATGGAAAAAGTACTATTCTTGCTTGACAAGTTTTGTGTGGGGGATGTCTTTTGTCATGAGATGACAATGATAGCAGATGACTTACCGAGATCCTACTCGGTCAAACAAAAGCGGGATCAGCTAAGTGAAATATGCCGTATTAGCTCAATGTCTGGTGATGCCGAAGGGGCACAAGTTTCATTGAAGGAATTACTGAAGGAAGGAATTACTGAAGGAACGAATACATGATTATGTCAAACCTGATCAAAACATAATTACTGATGGTGAGCCCATAAAAGTGAAAATTGCTGGAGATGGTGCAAGAATGACAAGAACTTCTAATTATATTTTGATGAGTTTTGGCATACTTCAATCATCAGATGACATTATGTCAGCAAAAGGAAAATCATACAATTGCGGTAGTGTATATAAGGAAAGGAGGATTATGATTTATTGTCTGAATGCTTTGCTGATGTCTTTAAAGATATAAAATGAAGTAGTGACAGAAGAAAATAGATGTGGATGGAGAAACTGTCAATTTAGAATTCGTCCTTTGGGGGGGGGGTACAAATTTATTTTGCTTATGATGGGCCTAAGTGGAGCCTCATCCAACCATGCATGTGTCTGGTGTAAGGTTCATAAAGATCAAAGATGGGACATGCATCATGATCTGAACTACTACAACTCGCCACCCATGCAGAGGACATTAGAGGAGATGCATGATATGGCAGGCAAAAAAAAAGAAAGAACACTATTGTTGTGTACATGCACCTAATCTCAATATTGAGTTGAGCCATGTTGTCATTGATGAATTGCATTTGTTGCTCAGGATCATGGATTTTCTTATTGGCAATTTGGTGAAAGAAGCTATACAGTGGGATAAACATGATAATTGGGGGGGGGGGGCTAGTGAGCAGAACAGCATGCATGTAAACCACCTGATAGACGTTATCAGATCGTGCAGAGTTTCCTTTGACATTTGGAAGAAAATTAATGTGGGTTGGGTAAGGTTCTGGCTTATAAGACTTCATTAGCCTTCTTGGGTCAGATAAGAAAATTACTTAAGGAGCTCACAGAAAAGCTCAATGGCATGATTCCTCCACTTTGTTAAAGCACAGTCAAAACCCTTTGGGAATACACTCTATATATATAGCAGACTATTTTGATAAAGCACAGGAATGGGTAAAGCTGTTTGTATCATTAAGAGATAAAGCCATTGGATACAAGAAAGCAAACATGACCCTTTACATGCTATGGTTTACCATGTTCCGATTTTTTTCCAGAAGTTTAAAACAGTCAAACTTTTTACTGGGCAAGGTGTGGAGAAGAACAATGATGTAGCAACAACTATTGTTTTGAGGAAATAAAATAAAATGGACAGCCCTGGAGATGTTTTCCAGTCAGGTAAGCCTTGTGAATATTAAATAAGAGATGCACACAAATATTTTAATACGAGTTTATACTGTGGTGTTCACTATTAACTTTGCTTTAAGCGTTTGTGCGGATATATGTACAGTATACCTGCTTGTATCGGAATTAATATGCAAATTATGATATGTTTTATAGCAGACCCCCTAGCTATGAGAGGTCTTTGAATGTGCTACGGTCAGATTTTTGGCTAGATCCGCCCGTGCCTTCTTTGAAAAAGACACCTTTACCCCATCCCCTAACTTGTCCACTACTTGGTCCCATTCAATAGACATTGTGCATCTTGAGAAATCCTCCTTCTCAAGAAAAATGTGCCTACCATTATCCATTTTGCCTTCTCTGTTGAACAGGTAGTTGAAGACATCATGCCTGAACTGAGAAACAGTAGGCAAGGTGCTTTTGGTTGCCAAATTTTCCTGAATTGCCATGTGTAGGGCATCAATTCCAGCACAAACCAATTCCCTGTCCAGACTAGGGTTGGAAAATGTTCTGGTTTGAGATAGAAGTACATAAGCTATGTTGATAAACAAAAGACATTATTTGGATCAATTAGTATACAACTCTCAATAAGATAGAACTACAATTAAATTCTTTATTCTTTAATAAATTCAGTTCTATTTATCTGATGCATATATACATGAATTGGACTATCCTAAAATAGAAGTCAATTTTTAAAGAATGCAGCAGTTCATTATAGTTCTATCTTATTGAAGTTTGTTAGCATAGCAAAGAAAACACAACAGGTTAGAATTATGCTGCCATTCTGAAATATATACCAACCTTCAAAATTTCATGTTATTAAAATGTTTTAATAACTATACTGATCAAAGCAATTTTAATTTGTTTTTACCTTAGAGCTAGCTCATTCAAATTATCTTATGGTTCCCAAGTGCTACAGAGTGAACTATATCCTTTCCATTTAACAAGATATTCCACCTAAATTGAAAATTTGTAGTATATAAAAAATAGTAAATACTCGCGGCAATCAACGCTGGATATTCATATTATATTATAAACCGATAGTGAAATTTAAATCAACTTACTTTACGTTTTATGCATTCTTTTGGACGCAATCCTCTCAACTTCATAATATTTGCCGCGTTCATTATTTTTCTTGCTATAAATATCGGCTGTGCTTAACTCATTTAGCTCCTTGTGGAAACTAACTGCCATGTTTGATACAAGTCAGGCCTTGCCCTAAGAAAATTGCGCGGGAGCGATTAATCGCGCATGCAAAATATGTTGCCACGTGCTGTGAAAATTTTTTAGGCCCCGCACATATCTAGAAATGACACAATTGGCAAATAATCTTGTTGATTTACAAATTAAAACATTAACTGCCTTAAAAAAACCTGAACTTTAACTACCAAAATATGTACAAGGTGTGGGTTTCTATCTACTCTAAGATCTGTCCCGTTACACCGTTCCTTCTAATCAATCATCCAAAGATTCTTTATCAGAATTGGACATAGTGTCAAAACTGTCACCGTTACTGTCACTGCTTGTACTTTCCTGGTCTGAGATGCTTTCATTGCCAGAACTCTGTGTAAGGTCTACACTTTCCGCAAACGAGGTATTGCCGGCATCATCCAATTTCTGCTTCTTTGCTGGTCTCGCTTTGCTGGGTCAACTTCGCTTCTTTCCCCCGAGGTAAATTTTTACCACACAATTGATTATGTCATTCCTTTCTTCCATAGTCCACAAATTGTCATTTCCGTAAACAATCAGTGAGTCATTGATTGTCTCATGGTGCATAGAGAGTCGCTTGTCTGACAAGATATTTGTCATGACACTGAAGGATAACAGCACATTTCTCTTGTATAGCTTCTGCTATACAGTGTATAGCTTCTGCTATACAGTGTACAAATTCTCTGCCTGATTTTCCGTCATCCTTTGCTTCCACCAAGCACACACAAATGGCAATGTGCCATTGTTGGCTCCATAGCCATTTCATAGGCGCATTTAATTAGCTTTTGATAAGCTTCTTCAGTTTATTTACTCCAACAGGATGGTATCGATTTTTGCACCTAACCAACCCAAACATTAATTGTTAGCGCTTTAATTCTTTTACAGTAAGGCTGGTTTGCACTAGTCGCTATCAAAGTTTCAGATTAAATGTCCCACAGTCCCACATTTTGTTCAAAGCATACTGTGAGCACAGAATCTTTTATAGTGTAAACCTGCCTTATCGTAAGTGACTGTGAATCTACAGTATATTTCGTTAACAAAATTAGTTCAAATTACTATTTATTAAATAAAATGTAAGTTCTTGGTATGTTTTGCATGGCGATAAAACATATAATAGTTTTGTTTGTGGAAACACCACGTAAATTAGTAATAAATTTACGTGGTGTTTCCACAAACAAAACTATTATAAATAAAATGTATTGAGAATGAGAAATACTATATAAACTGAAAATCCCTACTGAAATACGGGATGCTAGAACTCAACTCTCATAAAGGATTACTGTAAACGGCTTAACTTTAAGCCTAGTTTTCATATATCGTAATTCGTCTGCGATCATCGCCGATGAATTATGATATATGAAAACCAGCCTTTATGCATGTTAAATACAATTCTTATCAAAACAACATTTCAAACATTGTGACAACATGTTGACTCCGCCTTGATAACACGACAACTGACGTAACAAACTATTGTTTTGATACTACAAAACTCTACAACAAAACATGGCCATTCTAAAATCAACCGGGAAGTGCAGTAATGACATAAAATTTATTATATCAAGAGTATGTGTGCGTTTTCTGCTGACTCATTTTATGAATTGTTCTTAATGACTCTCAAATTGTAATACTGAGAATAATATAAATGCAAGATAATGCTAAAAATGCAAGTGCTTACCTTACTGCTGCTTGGTTGTGAAACTAATCTTTCGGACGCTAGTTTTATGGCTTCAATTTCTAATGCAATGCAATGACCTTCACCTTCTGAATGGCGATGGACATTGTGCTTCGTAACATAGTTTGTCCCATCAACGTATGCCAAGACCGACTTCTTTACTGGGCCTTTACAGTTGGGATGATGAAGGAGAGCATCTTTATTCCGCACACAGGCTTTGCACCAGACAAAATTCACAAACTCCCTACTCTCAACGTTAACCGTCTTGTACCCAATTACGTCATCCTTTCCCCACTTTTTAACGTTAAAACATCAACCTTGTTTCCTTTACCACCACTCGCCATTTACAAAAGTTTAATCTTCCCTCATTACTGTGATCTCAAAACTTTATAAATAATGCATAAACAGTCTCCCACAATACGATATTCGAGACAATATTAACAACAATGTTTACACCTATTTCTTGCAATTTGACGCCAGACTGTCTGTTCATTGCAGTAATTGTTACATTTTTTATCTCAATAAACAACGGAAAGCCCAGCACAGACAAACATGTTTTCCTTCACAAGTTTTCTTGATAAGTCACTTGATACCAATTTCAATTTCAACCGGATTTTGGTTAACGATTTACTCGCATAAATTTGCATAAATTATGATATAAAAAATGTTGCAATTATGCATAAATGTATCTACCGGTTCAAATTTCAAATATGTCAAAAAAAAATTATGAATGTACCTGAAAGACATGGTTGTGATCTACAAGTACCTGAAGTTTCATGCATGTAGCATAAATGGAAGTATTTTTATTGAATTTTTAAATAAACTATGTAGTTGAGTAAAATTTACATTTTGTGCACACATGAAACAAATACCCTTATCATTTTGTGCACACATGAAACAAATACCCTTATCAAAGGTCCTTTTTCATTTCTGCAACATACTATCAATACAAATTTCTAAT